AATTTTTAATAATATTTAGGGCGAAAGTTTCGAGACATGAGATATTGGTAGACATAACTCACATAAGTTTCTGAAAACACCCACCTTTTCTCAGCTATATTCTCACTCATAGTTACTCGAAAAAATACCTCAACTCGAAATAACATTACGTCCGAAAGTTCATTATAGTGGAAACAATATATAGGAAAGTTGAATTTAAGATTGGCGAAAAACATTAAAATTAATAAAAAATACTGAATCAGAGTATATGTGAGAAATTAGGTCACACAAAAAACATGTGAATCTAACTTGTAAAGTACGTCCAAACACATGCAATAAAAATCAGAATATCGTGATCGCGGTTTATTATATGATCAATTTGTATATCAAGGCTATAAAAATTCTTTATGTACCTTTGTACAATTATATACATTGTTCTTATTTCGCTTCTTTTTAGGTTTAGAATGGATAGAACCGAGGTCTTTAGACTCATGTATCTTTTTTACTGTAACAACATAGGGTAAAATATCAGAACAATTTGAGGAAGCAATGCTTCGAGATTCCATCTCATCTGATGTATCGCTATTATCGGTCTCAAATTCTGGTAATTCACGCTTACATTTTGCCTTTCTATCTCTTAGCTCAGACTCGACTGCTTTTAATCTCGAATAAATAAGATTTATATGTAATCCTATTACATCGATCATAATGGGGGTATCTTTATGTAGTTTAGTATTAGTTGATCGCTTTTTGTTACGTTCCATTTTTGAATGATATATATAGCCAAAAAAAAATAAATATGACAGATGCATAGGCCGACTTGCTTTCCTACATTAGGTAAATATAATTTATTAAACGAAAATTATCATGTGGTATCACTTTATATGTGTTAGACACTAGCTCCCCTATTATCTGATAAGTCTGATTCAGATAGAGTTCCGGAATTTTTAAAAAACTTTGTATTGCTAGATTTAATCAAAGATAAGGTCTTTTTAATATCATCTATTTCCCATTTAAACTCAAGTAAATCATCATCCAGTATATCAAATTTATTTTCAAGTTTATTAAGTTGTTCTTGTAATTTGAAATAGCGGGATTTTTTTATTGCGGAGTAATGGCTCTTTGAGCCTACTTTAGTTGATGTCATTTTTTGTAATATATATATTATACCTGTCACCCAAATTCAAAATCCAAATGCCGAAATCCCAAATGCCGAAATCCCAAATCTCAAATCCCAAATTATGATTAGTATTTTTTGCCGAAATCCCAAATCCCAAATCCCAAATACTAGTAATTTGGGATTTGGGCAACACGTATAATATATATATATTATTTAGATAAAAAAAAATTATTCGTAAATATACGAAAAAGAAATATTTCAACTTAGGCAAGTAAGATGATCTATTATTGATATTGGGGTTTTAACTTTAGCTTCATCATTCTTTTTTCAGCTTCTTCATGGGACATTCCTTTACCAATCATTTTCTTATACGCAATAATACACCAATCCCCAAAAGCTAATGTAATAATTCCATCTGATAAAATCCACCTCTTAGTATCTAAAGGGCTAATACCAATTTTAGATGAACGAAGAAGTCTAATAATATGGTCTTTACTTCCTAATCTATGCATTGTTACCATGCATTCTTTTCGAGATTTTAAACAATTTTCATACATATCATGAGTAAGATTCTTTTTAACTACTACCTTTTGTACTCCCTTAGCTCTTCGATCTGTTTTTCCATCAGCAAGAATATAACTATAAAGCTTAGGTCTTGGTCCGCAAAATTTCCACATAGCAGTACCACTACTTTCGTCCTTGTACTTACCAGGGACTTTCTTATTCAACCCCATTTTTTCTTTTCTGAGAGCTTGATATACAAGATAATCTGGTTTATAATCACTAAAATCGAAATGTTCATACATCTCTACCATATCATTATATACATTCCCAGTTCAGATAAGTAGTATGAGTGAATCAGTATCAGTATATACTAACTCTACATTATCTCCATATCGTTTTTTCATAACATTATAATAGAAATTATACATTGTGATTTTGCTTTCATCGAGAACAGTTATCCCAATAAAGATAGGTTTACTAAGTCTGGCCTTTGTTTGATGACGAGAAATACCTACCAAATTCTCTGCTAAAATTCTATGAGACTTGTAACTAGGATCAGCTACTAACCTTTTAAATTTTTTTGATTCTCCTTCCGGTCTAACAAAGTCTACTCTTTGATATTTACGTACATTTTCTACAGTTTTTCCATAGTTAGTATTACCTAAGAGCTTATACATATTTTTCTCGAAATCATTCGTAGCTAAAGCTCGAGATCTTGCTAGTTCTTCCATAAAAGGTTTCATCCATGGACTTTGATCAAATTCTATACCACGATGGATTTTCCTAAGTACCATTCCCTGCTTTATATAAAATTGTAACACTCGATAATGAACTATATACTTCTTCTTATCATTGAGATTAGAGACGAGTTTCTTAGTTTTTGAATAATGTTTTAAATCATTAATAATCTCTTGTCCATACTTACTCATTTCCTCTTTAGAAATCTCGATATTTTCAGGGGCTAATGGATATGAAGTATGAGCTTTATGTAATTTATATGGATAGTCAAGGTCTACTTCAAGAATATAGCCTTTAAGTGCGTCATTAGGAATTTCACACTTGGTAATTTTATCAAAAAGATCTGGAGTTTTTTCAGGTGTTATCCATCTATGTCCTCCTGTTGGCATGCTTTGCATCATTGCCTCAGTATATAGTGCATTTGCATCAACATATAATAACCAAGTAAAGAGATTTTTCTTTGCTTCTTCTGAATTTGAATTAAAATCGGGACATTAAGGATTATTAGCTTTAACCTGACGATTACTTATCATTGTAATACCTCCTCGGATCCCTTTTTCACAGAAGAGATACATGTTATCATCAGTAAATAGCTCGATCTCTTGTCCCGTTGTTTTATATAGAGCATCTTCTGCAAATGAAGGGAGGGATACATAGTGAGATATATCTAGACCAAATTTACCTTTCATTAATTTTCGAAATCCTTTCAAACAATCTGCTAATAATAGTACATCGAGTTGGAGGTATAAGTCATGATATTCTCGGAATGATTTCATATTAAATGCTTTCCATACTTCTTGTGCTCTTTTATAGGCTTTTTCTGAGCATTTGGATTTGTTGAGTATACTGTCGAAAGCCTCAATAGGAGGTAAGGAAGACGCATCCATTTTTTCTGGTGCATTAAACCAATCATAAGGGAAAATACCTTTACGAAATACTAGATCATCTCTTCCTTTTGGACCATATTCTTTAGTCATGGGAAACCTCTCTGGATGAGCAAAGTATCTATCAGAATCAATTCGATAAAGATGACCTGGCTTTTTACATGGTAAGTTTAGAGATTTTCCATCCTTATTTATTTCTTCTTTACATGGTTCAGCTCCTAAATTAGATATGTGAGGGTCAAGACTTCCTGGCATGAGTTGGAGAGAATCCATATATCTTTGATTCCCAATATCGAGACTAAGATAATTTTCCATGTTATGTGGGATAGCACTTATCTTTTCTTTACTTACCCGTCCCATAGCTATACCTGCCACCCAAATTCAAAATCCAAATGCCAAAATCCCAAATACCAAAATCCCAAATCCCAAATCCCAAATTATGATTAGTCTTTTTTGCCGAAATCCCAAATCCCAAATCCCAAATACTAGTAATTTGGGATTTTGGCGTCCCAAATCTCAAATGATTTGGGATTTGGGCAACACATATACCCATAGCTTGAGAAATTAGATGAGCATCAAACTTACCTAAATTATGGAAACGAATCGGTAATTTAAACTGCTCTGGTTTGATTCGTAGTTGGAGGTTACAAATACTATGGG